TTGCTATATACACGACGAATTGTCATTTGAAATTTAACCAAATCCTCCATTACCCACACGGAACTGTTAATTTTTCAAATTAGTGTTTGGCAGATTGAACTCCTATGCTGAAATTGTGAAATGTTCGGAAGCCTCTTTGGGATTCGAACCCACACATGGACGTCACCTACAGTTTACACAGTGAACCAAACTTCTCACAATGTCAACATAAGACCTCAATCTGCCAAACAACCATTTGAACAATCAACCAAGCCTTAGAAGTTCATTCGGTGGACTCCGGTGAATTTTAAGGAAGACCTGTCGTGGCGGTCAGCTTACATGCTACGTGGTGAATGCCATATATCTCTGGATGGGTTGGATGGGTGGTTCGAATATGAAAATATCAACGCGCTCGGTGTAGTCTCGCAGCTCAGCTGGTACAGCATGCGCTGTACAAAAGCGTAGGCGGCATCCTGTGTGGGCTCGAGTGCCACCGAAACTGCTGACACTTCCACAATTTCAACATAAGATAGGATAATTCCCCCTCTATTGTGATACATCAAAGAATCAAGTATGAAACGAAGTCTCAACGAAACGTTTGTCAGAAAGCTACTAGGGAAAAAAGATGAAAGGTTAGTTGGACAAAGTAACAAGGGAAGAACGTCAAGCTTCACAGCATCAGCATCGATAGGCAGAACTTAGTACTCATCGACTCATCCTCCGACAAGCGATCCATTTTCATCCCAAAAGGCTACTCCAAGAGCGACCCTTACTCCAGAAGTTTCCAAGCTCCTCCGAGCATATACACCGAGGTCTGCAGTGGGCTCTAATGGTCTATCTCCTGCTGTCTTCAAGTATAGTGCTAGACCACTGATTGAGGTCTTTTCATATTTATGGTACCGTTGGTAAAATGAGACGGTCGTTCCTCCATATTCGTAATTTAAAGGAAATTACTGCCAAAAAAATCTGTAATCTCCACCCTCGAACATCACTGTTTCTCATATTATTTGTGTTATTATACAGATATCTTTCCTGGTTTACTCAAAAAGACCCCGCTGCTCATTATCGTAGCTAAACCACCATCAGTCGATTCACTTCTTCTCATGGACTCTCATCAGTAAATTGTACGATCTACATATTTATTCGCATGTGGGTTATGTTCTCAAGAGCCTCCTCATTCTAATTATCTCTGTAATTCCTAACCTCAACCAGACCTAGTTTCGAATAATTCCTGATACGATCGTTACGTATAGAACCTCAACTGTTCCATATTCGGTCTGCATTCTCACTGATACAGAGTCGATACCGAAATGTGACTGAAACCTCAGAGAGAACGCATTTTTCTACTTTATGTCTCGCTCTACAACGGCTTACTTTCTAGTTTTGTGACTGAAACATAGGTATACCTACACACGAAAGTCGGTTAATAAAAAAACAATACACAACACTTTGATAACTTACGGCGTAATAGAGACAGTTCACTTTCATCCACCGAAGACTCCGCCTCGGCGCTCCTTGAATTGAGAACAGACTGTGATTCGACGACCGAGACGGGAGCCGCCAAAACCGTCGCTTTGGGCTCAGCTGTGATTTTGTCCACGCTTTCGTAATCTTTTTCCGAAGTGTCTGCTTTCGACGAGAGTGAGGCACACACATCACCTAGAGTACACGCAACCAATGGGTGCATGTAAAAAAGCGACAGATCATTCAAACACACTATTTTCTCTAAAGCTGTGAAGATGCACTGGACAATACAATACATGGGAGCAAACAACCCGTAGGAGAACGAAAGGGTGTGTGTGTGTGTGTGGAACCACAGTGCTGGGGCATTGCCTAACGAGTGGTAGGCATGCCGAAAAGAATGGTCAACAATCCAATACGAATAAACTAACCATCAATAAAATTTTGCTTTCACAAATGTGATGTCTGACTTCGTACTAGGAAGCACCAATGGGAAAAATCAGACTGTGAACAACTGAGAAATACGATTGCATTTTTCTAGATGGCATTAAAGAATGGGAAAAGAAGTGTTGAAATGGTACAAAACAAAACAAGCTGGTCGGCAGTGTACGAGTTCAAGTTACTGACAAAAGACGCACGCACCCGAAACGCAAAGTCGATGTTAATTTGGACTTGACCTATCTTACTTATCATGTTTACCGAACAACATTAAGATTCGCTTTTGATCTCGCAGTTATCATTGATGCAATCTTGGGTACATACGGACACATGAAAGATGAATAACTAATAAGCGATTCATTTTCGCACAACGGGGTCGAATTAGCGTATAGCTCTAATTAGGGACCTGAACCAGATCTAAACCAGAAGACTACATGGGCTGCAGAAGTACAATTAACCAGCCTGGTGGGAGGACAGCAATGATCGAAAGCAAACTTGATAGTTTCAGATAAGTCTGGCGAAGTACCTTGGAAAATCATCCCATATCTTCACCACAGCCTCTCTGTTTACATCCTATAACAAACAGCACATTTTCCTCGAATCTCCTGAATGAGTTTCAGCCCCTACTTTTTTGTTTATAATATTTATTTGCTTGCCCGGCTTTGGCAAACGACTGTTTGATTAAAGAACACAATGCGGTCCGGAAAAAACGATTTGTCAACATCTTCTTGCAACGGCTGCATCCCAACTCACTATTCGTAACAATCGTTCAGGGTTCGCCAACTACCTTACCGACTGAAATCTCGTCCAAATCTTGTTTACCTCGGTTTCTCGTTCACTAATTTTCTGCTCACGAATAATGTTGAAATCATTCCAGTAGACTGGTAACCCTAACTAGCAGTTCATTTTTTGCAACCCTTAACCATGCACTTTCGTTTATTGGTTTTGGTTGTTGTCTGATGACTATTCATCTGGATTGAGGAGTAAAGATAAGATTGGAATGAGTATCGCTGTTCTATAAAGTTTCTCATTTCATGAACTGAAATAAACGAACCTTGGGTGGCAGCGATGAAACGAAGTGCGATGCGGGATCATCAAATTATGCAACACAGCCATTTCACGCAAGCCGTAGGCTTGATGAGCGTAACAAAGTCTAACGGTTAGTTCTGGTGGAACACTTCAGTCAAATTAATTGTCAGTTTTTGGTATATCTTTTTTTACAGGTTATCAATTGGTTACCTTGACCTTTTGTGATTTATACACGCCTCGATAACCACCCGCCAAGCTTATCCGGAGACATGTGCCAAAAATATCATTTCATCAATAAAGAACGAAGACAAATGCCGTGAGGTGGTAACATTTCGTTTAATCTCCTCAAGCACTGACGTACAACAAATAGGCACATATATAGCACAGGGTTGAGCAGTTATAGTCAACCAACGGGTAGAAGCAAAAGAAAGATCATTATATACGAAAGTAAAAGGTCAACTCCGCGATGTGCCATGTATATACCAGTTTGTTTTACCTAAGCGATTGAGGAGATTAAACATTTCGCTAACATTTCGCAACATTTGTCTTCTTTCTGTATCAATGAAATGGATAACGGGGGTTACATGTTTCTGGTGTTATTAATCTGTGATTAGGTGTCTGCAACGGTAACATACTCAACACATCATAGCGTCACTCATTTCATTGTCATACCAGAACCATATACAACCGTGAGGACATTGATGATCAAACACCCACATCGTTTCTTTTATTACACACTTTCGTGTGATGAACGTACGACGGAGAAAGTCCCATAATCACGAGGACCTGCTGTTCGGTGATGGAAGCCGGTAACCAAAGCCCCGGGACTGGGAGTGGCGAACCACATAAAGCCCCGATAGGTTAGGCGTGGTATTGAACCGGGTGACAGCAGAGCTGCCTACCACCAAAGTCGGGTGGCGATGGCGGGGCTCGAACCTCGGACAGTAGGGTCTAAAGCACGCCTGTGACAACGACTAAATTACTGCGCCACCAACACCGATCTGTGTTCCGAATCTTTCAAATCATGCTATCTGGGCCGTCGCAGCGTACAATCGGTGTATGAGGAACAAACAATGTTACGTAAAATCTATTAATGCATTAGACTGAATAAAATTATAGGTTATCTGAAATTCGTGCAAACCTAAGTGATGAAAAACTGGTTCGCAATCATTGCAATTATGCTTTCAATAAACCGGATGGGAAAGTAATGAATAAATTTGCAAACATTTTAGCCAACACAAAACCAGGTCAAATGAGTCACTTGGCTTTTCAACACACTAATGCTATTATTGAGACAAACCTAGTCGAATGGGTCCAAAGACTGCCGAGCTCATTTCATATACGAACATGAGAAAACTATTCCAGAAAACCAAAGGCGAAAGCGAAGGGGTAAGCCGAAGTGCCTGTATAGTCACAAAAATCCTTTCTAAATCCATTCATTCACAAAGTTAAAATCACTGGGAAAGCCCATGCACCCCAGAGTTATTTTCGATGCAGATCAAACTGGCTCTGCATCAACCGCATGGGTACGAATGAGGGAGTACGGTGCGTTGGAAAGCGACTAGATTTCTAAGATTATCTATACACTAAGAGATTGAAAGCCCGAACATTCAAGTCAGTGAACGCCTGAATCATAGACAATGGATGTATACATCTGAATAATAAACAGCACTGTGGTTGCTCGGCTCAATGTTACGGCCATCTTTGTGATTTATCAATTTCCCAAACCTACGTTGCCGGAGTGCTTTCGAGCAGCCCTAATGCGTCGTAACATGGTGCACAACAGAAAAAGTAACCAACGCTACCAAGTTTGTTGTTTCCTTATAGCAGGCAAGTTACGCTGTATTGCAGATTGGTAACTATTGCGTCATTCCATCAAAAGTACAGCGCATTCAAGTGCGAGAATATGGAAATAAAATGAATCCACACGACTGTGTATGATGGTGCAGGGATTAACACACAGACTAGAGCAACGAGAAACGTTGAGTTAAGATGTCCATAAACCGTGGTTTAGCGGAGATGACTTGTTGCACTCAGAACGTACCTGATGTGTGGCAAATATTTGGCGCTTTTTGGCGGCCCTGCTGTACACAGTATTTATTCAAATTGTGTTCAGCACGAGCTTGAGACGAGGCTAATCGAGCTGCCAACTGCCTGGCTCGATCCAATACAGTCGAGAACTCTGAGTCATTCATAACATTTCCATCCAGCTGAGAGGAAACATCGTCTGACTGATTGGGTCGATCAGATTCCGTAGAAGATAGGGAACTCGATGTATCACAGCTGACAGCAGAGACCGAACCGGTCTTCTTTATTTCGCGCATCAAATTAGATTTCAGTTCAGACAGTGTGGAAAGTTCATCTGTAACGGAAATTCAACATATAAAAGTATAGACTGGTTGGAATTGGAAAAACGAACAGAATAAATCAACCTTATGGGAGGCTTTTTCTGTATATGCCGAGTCACTTGACTTGGTCCAATGCGCGACAAAGTGAAAACCCGTCCCCAATAGATTGCGAAGAATATCCACCTGCTTTGGCCTGGGCCACCTAGCAGTAACGTGCCCTCGAGCAAATCATGAACCTTTTATATGATGATTGCTGTATCATGATTTGTTTGGCACAGTCTGAACTCATGCATGTGAAAATATACATATGTATCACTTGTTTTTACGGAAACTGATGAGCTTTGAAAAAGGGTATATTCTTGACTGAATATGACGTGTTTCGTTCAAGGTGGCCTTCAACGATCGTAATAAGTACATTTTTTGGTCATATGGCTAGTCCACTGTTTGGAACTTTTAGTAGCCTACTACTGCCAGATAACTCAGTGTATCAGACTGTAGTACCTCGGCAAGAGTTTGATATTTACCACCCAGAACTCCAGCGTTTATCATTCCCACAGGCGGTTACTATCATTTTCGGCGTGGTACTGGAGCTGAGATAACATTGCGAATCACAAAATCTTGATTGATGTCCGCCAACTCGAGGCATTTGTGGTGCCTTCCGTGTGCGCACATACACGCACGTCTTCTTGATCGGGGCAGTGGTTACCCGCATGATTGGGATTCGATTTGATCGCCTTGGACATTTGACTACGACCAATGAACCGACCTCAAATGGATTGCGGTTTCTAAAAACCGACCCGCATCCTTGCGGGTTCGGTTATGATTTCCCAAAAAACCCTCCTGCATCACTCCGTTAACTAGCAAATCATGGGTCATTTCGGTATCATAATTTTTCCGTGATTCATTTAGCACATAGTCTGGAATCAAACATGTGTGAAATACATGTGCCGCCCAAGATCTTATTTTCCTTGTCGGGACGGGTGCATAATACTTCAATTAGCAATGCTGTGCTGTGAACAAGCAAAAAAAGTTGTCGTCACCACAACTGACTGTTTCTGTTTTCTACCTTGGTCTGCTTCTGCAATTCTCTTTCAACTCAGTTATTTTTGTGCCATATATATATATATATATATATATATATATATATATATATCCATAGCTTAGATTGAGATGGCGCTCCCCACCTTCCAGTTCAGGGTTGCTGCTCGTGAAACCCAAAATTGAACTGAATGTATGACAGAATTACCCTTTATAATGAAAAGGATAGAAGCCATGTTAGATCTAACTGCCTTTCATCCTTTCAGTGTTTGAATATGAAATAACAGTTTTAGTTTTGTTGAGGGCTCACAATATCGCCCATGAAGTTTGTTAGGACTCACACACTTCTGTTATCAGAATTTTTCATCCTAGATTTTATGGAAGACGCATCCGTAATTCGTGCGTTCGCCAGGCACCCAGCACTACATGGAATGGTTTGCTGACTTATTTGGGTCACACACAGTACGAACAGCAACGTTTAAAAATTGTCACATTTCCCTGTACAACACCGCTTTGAAGTGGAAACTGAAATTATTGTGCAATTCCTGATGAACTTATCGACAAGTAGTCTGTTTTACTGTAATTCAATAAGGATAAAAACGAATAAATGGAATGTAACAAGAATTCGATTGCATCGCTTCTTTACGAGAAAGTCACAGTTTGTCATATCCATGACAGAACACAAGATCACGTGAAACACGATTCAGTTGGGAAAATGAGACAGGCATTATGATAAGCAGCATCTCTAATATTAGTTTTGGACCTGAGTTGGAAACCAACAGGCTTAAAGATAAGTTAACAATTCCAGCCGATATATCAATGAGTGAAGCTAGAGTCATCATCGCTCGGTGGGTTATGATACGCGTGCCACGCACACACTCGGTCAAGCTTGCATTAAGCGAACATATTGATTTGTCAACTAATCGATCAATTGATTGTTGGCTATTGTGACAATTGTTCGCGAAGCCGGTGCGACTTTGTTAGTATGTGCATGTATATCTATAGATATGCGTGTGCGTGCGCGCGTAAATTTCGGTGCACACTACTTGTGTGCTCCCGCATAACTGATTGCAAACGGCATGCACAAACACGCACGCGGGTTCGCCCCATTAATGGGGTCTGTTTGTTTATCTCTTGCTATCATTCTGACAGAAAACGACAAATGGTTTGCGTACTCGCCGGTATAATTCCAATCCAAACCACAATATTCGACATCACACTGACCTTGTAGGGACCTGATCAATTGCATTGATTGATTGAACTGTCGCACACTGTCCGACAAGTGCGTGGAAATGCAGTCACTTGTGGAATCAAGCATTTGCTCGAAATTAGCTTCCGAATTGGCGAGGAGTTCTGAAGAGTAGAGAAACAGAGAGAGTCAAAGGAATGATGCGCGGGAAGATGCGATGAGTCGGTGATACTGGTGAAAGTCCCGACACATGTATCACGCAGCCAAATACATTTCCTGCAATTTAAAACCGCACGTTCAGTTCAGTTCAGTTTGTACAACCATTAACCACGCATATTCGTGCGCCGGTTTTGGTTGCTGTCTTTTGATTGCACAACCCGTCGATATATCGAAATCAGTAGCTAAAAAGTCTACCGCTCAAATGGCATTATTTTCACAAAATGTACGCACGTAAAACGAAGAGGTTGTGCCAAATCCATAACGGAATAAATGCTATGAGAGGAAGCGTTAGTATGTAATTTTGGGAACTGTATCGATGACTCGTTTCGAACTTTGATGAGAACTTACCAAGTCTAATGTCATCACTACCACTCGGTCCCTGATCAAAAAAAAATGTCTGATTTAACTAGTGTCTTTCGATCAAGAATTCATATGAGCACTTAAACAGTCTGTGTAGAAGAATACTGATTGCCTAAGGATATAGATGGCACTCTAATGTCGATAGATAACTTTCAAGTTTACCGATCGTGGAACCGGAGGAAAAACTGGAGAGGGATGTTGTGACTCATTTCAACGTTTTCTGGTGTGGCAAGTCCCATGTTATTTTTCAGTACTGCTCAAAAGGTATTGTGGGTGATTAACCGTGCAATGTCACCCAAGATTCTCCCGTTTTACTCGCACATTTTTCACTAACCTGTATACAGCACCTTTCTGTACACAATCAGATCGTATGATATTCTTAGACTCGTTCATACCTTTTATTGCCTCACTTCTAGATGTTAATCTACACATAATCGTTGGTGACTGTAACCATACTAGTACTCATCCTCTTTTATCATTAGGTATGACAGATCTTTGTCACTCCTCATAAAAGGTAATTCTATACCGGACAGAGTAATCAACAACCACCCAACCCTTTTTTTCCTTAGCACTAAAAGCACCGACTTCTTCAAGTGATCACTGTTTACTCCTAGCTTGACCTGAAACTTATTCACGTTGTGCATACAAATCTTTTTCTGGATATGAACATATCAGATTCATTTTCACAACTTCTCAGCTACAAGTGTTTCTCTTCGTAATGAATCCCTCAAGCAGGCTATTCTATGGTTTTCATCTCGATTCACGTGTCCTCCTATTTACCCAAACCATCAATGCCACTTATAATTACTGCTGCCCCGTTCAACTTCTATGCCTGATAGAAGGATAACCTCATCCCTACTAAAGTCGCTGCGACGACAAAAGGAACATGCATACAAGTCTCACAATGCTTCAGCTGTCAGGTATCTGTCCAGGCCTATCAAAGCTGAAGTAATAAATTAAACGCATTATTCTCCGATTGAACTCTGAGGACTGGAAACAGCAAACGCCTGTGGCAGGGTATCAAATTTCTCTGCGGAAGGAAGAAAGTACGGTTGAAGCTTAATGTGAATGATTTCAATGCCGCATTCCTGCGACAGTCATCTCATCACAAAGTAAGTAATGTGGAACCATTCTCAAATTGTGATATGTTAAAATTAATAGTTGAAGTTTGTTTTCTGCTGTAAGCCCGGATAATTTACCTCAAGCCCTCTTCAAATTTGGTGCTATTTCTCTAGCTGAGGTAATCACCTCTTTATACTTCTGCTATCCCGGAAGGAGGCCGGTCACAATCATACTAATTCCCAAAGCGCTCAAATCTTCCATTCTCTTCAAACGTTTTCGTCCCATGGCGTTAACATCTTCAGCTCTGATGTTGACTGAAGAGGCTACCCTCAAACGCCTTCAGCAACCTATAAACGCCCCATGATCCTTTAGTTTGCTTACAAGCCTGATAGACCCACTTTGGACGCAGCCTCCACCCTTATTCATTCTATCAGTAAGTCTTTGAACAACTCTGATAAGTTCGGTGTTTTCCTTGACTACTCTTCAGCATTTGAATCTATTCCTTGTTACGAAAACCGGAATCGTTTTAATGCTTCAAGTAATTGTTAACATGGCTATCCAACTATTTTAGTGGTGGAGCGAAACCACTATATTAGGGAAGGCTTCATCCAAAACCTTAGTTAACAACTCCGGAGTTCTTCAAGGAGTTGTGCTGTCCCCGTACTTATTCTCCACTTATATTTGTGATATTCCTTGTTTCTCCTGCACGTATTTTCATTGGTCCACCCATACCCACAACTCTTTTGGTAAACTACGTCGCCATTTTAAATCCGAAAACTCATGCAGTTTCGCGCGTCCCAGTCAGTTATCTCAACCTTTGTTTATCAATGCGTTCAGCCCATCTTACCTTATTGCTCCCCAATTATTTTCCATGGCTTACTCAAAGGCTTACGCCGCGGCCTATGAATGAGTTAGCTTTAAAGCTTTCAGAGTATCATGACTTCCTGTGTAAAATTGGCGGAGAGGATTCTCATAAATCTTGACCACCCATTGCACGCAGAACTGACACGTTGTCGTTCCCATCTCTCCACACGCTCCCAATTCCGTCAAGTTCCATCCCGTATTAACGCTTACCGAAATTCACATATACCCATTTCTTGCACGCCTACTCACAAGTAAAGAGGGCAACAAGTGAACTTTGTTTTTACCTTGGATTATGAAATATCCTAATGTCTGTAAACGTTTCCTCCCCGTTGAATATGTACTTTGTGACGTGTATGGTTGTTAACTGAAATGTAAGCTTCAGTGCTTGCAAGTTATACACTGCAATACAATACATAATTCTAAAAAGTAATCCAGTTCGTTTACATGGCTAAATGTTGCTGACCGTGAGTGCACAGTTTGATAAAAGAAACCCAAATATTATTCTCGGATGGAGAGTTAAGTTCAGTTGATGTTTCTTGATCCATTTAATCCAAAAAGGATTGAATAAAACATACAGACCGAGCTTAAGTCAATGCGAATGCGGAAGTTCGATGAGTGAATACAGCTAAACTTAAAAACTTGCTGTTCACGTGAGGCCAGGTTGGGCAAAAAGCAGCACCCGAGTGGTTTAGCTCAGTTCATAAAAAACTTCGCTTGATATTTTTTTTATCTATTAGGTGTACAGCTCACGACATCTTACCATTTATATCTCTTAACAGTTTCCGCAATAAATAGAACAGCACTGTGGCAAGTAACAGATTTAACTGGGTGTATGAATACCAACTTCAGTTAGGACAGAAAATTATGCCTGAAGGGTACGAAATTCCGGTTAGAAATGCAACATCCACGAATGGAAACAAATTAAGCGAGTTAATATGGTGGATAGCGATGCCGTAAAACGACGACGAAATACAACATTGTTCAGAGTGCCAAATGTGTTTCGATATGTGCATCCAGCTGTCGAAACCATTTCGTTAGTCTGTCATTGTGTGCCCACATAGTTGCATTGGTGCACATTTGTGTCGGGAGGTGAAAGAAAAAACAGACCATGGCATGTGGATCGGAATAACAAATCAGTTCCGCAAACACACAGTCATTCCGCTGCCGCGTCGATAGCTGGATTGTATTTATAGTCAGGGGTCAACTATGAACCATGCTCAATTTTAGTGAGTAAAAGGATTTTGGCAAAATCTAGTGGAAGTTACCTTGGACTTCACATAACCTATCCAATTCGTTCAGCTCGGTTATGATCATTTCATCACGAGCAGCATCCACACGTTGATTTAGTGAGGACTGGAGCCTTTCTGCAATGTTTACTTTATCTGTGATAAGTACGGGGCAGTGTAGAGAAACACGAAAAAAGGAAAGGATCAATCTATGATAAGCACTAGATGAAGATCGAACACGACGAATCAGCTGTATGCACGTGCATTACAAGCCCCAAAGGCGATCAACGAATGACCGCTGAGTATAGAAAAGGATATGAGCAATCAGACTAAGGTATATGGATAGATATATTGCGAGCCAAAGATCAAGGCTGGAGGAAAATAAATGAACCTGTTTTTTATGAACATCGAGCAAGAATCGTTCTGGTGAGCTAATACAAGGCTGAACAGTTGCTGATCGTTCAACACTCGTTGAATTACAAATTACTGCTTTCCGATATTTAAACAGTATCCAATGGGACTGTTTTTTAAAAAAAAGATGAGCACACGACTAGTTGTTAAAATATCTCCTCAACCTTAAGTAATCACGTGATTCAATATACGAGTGTTTATGCCTTATTTATTGCACGCACTGCTATTCTTTCACAATACTTGGCAGAGATGAAATCGATGCAACTCAAAGATAAACGGTCCCAAATGCGCCATGGTGCTACCACATTGAAATGCGATACAACGTACGTTTGCAAATAATAAAGGGTAGAGGAACAAAGATGCAGTGTGAAAACCGATAGGTGTTTGAAAATAGAATACAGATAGGAAAGAGGGGATGCATGTTAGTATAAAATGATCCCTTGGCACAAGCAAGATCTCAACAAATGTATGAACTGCGATGGACGAAACTGAATCCCACGGTGGATTATGGTGAACAACAAACCTGGGAGTGGGAAACAGTGAATCTAATATGCAGGTATTCAGAATCAGGTGAAAGAGGATTGCAGGATGACCACAATGTGCATCGGAACGCATGAATAGAACCGTCGAAATGCTCAGGAATTATGAACTTGAAACAGACCAAACACCACAATACAACAAACGCAAAACTCGGTCGCTATACATGTAGTGATAGAAACTTGGGGTAGTATGTGGATGCGGGATACCAACCTCGAATTTCACACACTTCTTCCTTAATGGATGACAGACGAGCTGACAGAGATCACAAAGAGAAACAGAGCATCAATCAAAGGCGAAGTGTTCGGTGGATATTAGAGCAATACGATGTGAAAAAGGTCAGACAAATCAAAATAAAAAATTCAGCCTAAATGAAATGAAGTGAGATGAAATGGGCATGCAGCGCGGGAATTACCAAGACAGAGGTGTCATGGCTAAACTGTCAGTGCGTTTTGTTTAGACATAATAATCCCGCGAACGCAGCAGAAATCAGGAATTAGAGAATAAAATCTACTATGCACTGTCCTAACTATGAAACCTCATTATCAAAACGAACTTGTCAAGTGAACTAATTGGATGGTTGGGTTCTGACCCACGAAATGACATACCACGCTATGCTCAGTACATACGCGACGCGCCAGCGGGGTGTTGATTCGGAACACATAGGGCCTAGATGTAATATGTGAAACATCTTGATGATGCCACGGAAGTAGCGGTGTTGTCCGATGCTGTGATCGAGGCGGTTGTCGTTTTTATTATCGCAGACCACACCTAATTTGACCCACTGAACAACCACCCCAAACGAACCGTGATTTTCTGCTGTCTTCTGAATCAGGCTTTGGCCAGCTGAAGGCTGCGGTTGTGAAACCTCAATAAAATTCATCTGTTTTGATTTGGGTAAGTTAATCTTGGGAAAAATTTCTCAAGAGTGAACTATGGGTTTGACTTCTGTCAAAAAGATGCTTTGTTCGGCACACGGTCTAGACTCAGATAAAGCTAAAATAATAATTTGTGAACTGAGAAGTGCTTTCATAGATATCAACCCAATATCCAGGTGGCACCAATCACATTGCATTTTTAATGTGGTAGAGTGAAATAGAGGGCACTGTTTGATTTTCTATGTACGATTCAAAGGACCAGGTGTCAAGGGAGACTGGTGTATAAGATAGAATTGACTGTAAGAGAGAGACCTTTTGCTAAGAAGCTTTTGGAAGGTTCAAAGGTCAATTAGTTGCACAACAACCAAGTAAAATGAACTTAGCGATATCCGTATAAACTGAAGACTAAAAAATCCTTTTGATGCTCTTATCAATTGTAAAGCTGAGATAGCAGAAAGCTGAAAAATGAGCAACTAAGGAAGAAAGTACCGTCAAGAAAGCTTCTGAGGAATAGAATTCTGTTAAAGGGCATAAAAGCCTAAGATGAAGAAACATAAGTTTACAGAATAAACAATGTACATGCGTTTGTTATCCAGTTCATACATACAGGTTTACAACTGCTGAGATAATCAGGTGGTGTTGTGATCAGTGCCAGCATTGGATAAACACGAGATCGAGATGGTTGCGGAAAGGAGTCAGCAGAAAGTGTTCGAAAATTCGAGATATTGCGGAAATTGATCATCATTTTGACCGTATAACCATTACAAACTACTGTGAAACCATATAGCCATTATCTTCGCTGTTCTGAGTTAATTAATTCAGCTATTTCAGAAAGCAGTCGGGAAGAAGGATACCAACTTTCACCGTGTATACTTTGACAGCCAGAGTTTACATTACGTTCACACATTTCTCCTAACACCTGGATACAGTAGCATCACACAACAACCACGCTGTAATTAGTGATCGGCGAAAATGAATAAATTCATACTAATTTGAATGGTACGGGAAATCTAAAAGACACACTGAAAGGCAGAATAAGTAAATCATGCAATGTGCATTGGGATACTTGTAGTCAACAACACAGTTACTTTCTTCGTAGATTCAGTTTTATCAAATTAAAGAAATAATTAAAAAATAGTCATCGCTAAGCAACGCGCGACACTGTGCGCAGAATGAGCGATGGACGTGTTTCGTACTGATTGCTCGCAACCTGTGATATGGCAAGGACTCAGCACTTCAGTGCAAAACTCATATTCGTGGCAAGTTTTTCACCGAACTGTATGAGTAGATGAACAAGGAGTGGAATGCTGTTACAAATCTGAGGTACGCTACATCCAAAAATCATATCCAATGGGAACACCTAGGTTGGCTGCGGGCAATTAGCAGTCTTTTAAACGGACTAGTGCAATGTCTGCAAAAAACGATAACTGTTGTGAATTCAGTGTCAATTTTATTTTAATTGTGTAAATGATTCCTTATAAGCACATGAGCGGTGACAGTGGTATACCCTCATGAGAGAGTGAGCACGGTTGAAAATTTCACACCTTTTAGCGAGGTGAACAGCAGACAGAATGGACCCCATAGTCGCGAAGACTTGCTGTTCAGTGATGGAAAGTCGCAATCCAAGTCAAAGGACTTGCAGTGACGAACCACATAAGATGTGGTATTGAGCTGGATAACAGCTAAGCTGACTATCACCGAAAAGGGTGGTGGTAGTGGTCGCCCGGTTCGAACCTCAAACCATAAGGCCAAAGGCACACCGATGACAGTGATCATTCCAGTACCCAGTATTTTGTGAATATTATATTGTTTTTTATCCAATATCAGTGTGGAGGAAGCTCCTCAGTCACGAGGACCCACTGTGCAGTGAAACATCACATAGGGAAAAGGCAGAACCGCCTACTAAGTGCATGCTGACACTGCACATCACGAGACAGACATCTGATACGGCAGAACAGTTCTTCAGTGGACGACTAACACTAGACTGAAAAATTCGACTCACCATCAAGCTGTTCCGCATTTTCCGTTGGGCCGTTTTCCAAACCATTAACTGCCGGCGCGGACTCTAAATGAGAGTAACGTAAATATTGAGATTAGAATTATACTTGAACCACCTCCAAGCTAAATATGGGCGAATGAACCGGGTTGGGTACTTTATTTATTATTCTGATCGCAAACTGCATGGTGGATAATTCGAGGAAACTCTATTCACATCCAACTTAGTTCAAATTGTGAATTTTATTTCGCTCCTTATTCCTGTGAAAGCTTAAATTAAAGTTTTGACAGAACAAAGTCAAGGTGTAAACGTGCAGAAGTTGTGGAATTCAGTGATGCAAGAGATGCCCGAACGATATTGTTTCATTTCGTTGAATGACTCCCAGAATTGGTAGTTGCATCGTATGGGTCCTAAATTGAGCAGCCTAATGGTGACGTATTAACACTGTTCGACACAAAGTTGTTGTAAGGGAAAATAAACTAAATAACCAAAGGTCAGAAACTCCAACGGTTTAATCTAAGGCCCATGAAGGTCTCAGGTTGAGTTTAAAGGACCGACGCAATGATCACTACGAGGGTGAATAATAAACATACCATCTAGTCGAACCGAAGGACAAATGAGGGTCACCAAACTAAGGAGACACTCATGCCCGCAGAAAGCCTTCCTCCCGATGCCACATATAACACAGCGAACAAATTTCTTAAATGCCAGTTTAACAAGAGTCTGAAGAATGACCGCCAGAAGTGGTGGGTAGCAAAGTGTAGGGGGAGAGAAAGCTGCGCCTATTACTAATAGTCGCACTCTTTTCCCTCTAATTAAGAATACGGGATCCAGGAATATAGACGTGAGGTAATTAAGGGATCCAGGGTCCCAATGATTTCTCATCAGCAATGCTGTCTTGATCGATGGGCTGAACATTTCGAGGCTCAGTCTAACAGACCCCATCGACATCTGACCTATCACCCACCCACCCTCACCTCGACTGGGCAGTCGATGTCAGTCGTCCCGGGAGATGTTAACTCAAAAGGCATAAGGCCGCCGACCTAGATAGGCTTTTCTCAAGAATGGAGGTTGGAGTTGACGAAACTACTGGGAGACGGATCCGGTTCCAACTAAATGGTGCGAATCAATGATTTCCCCGATTTACAAGAAAGGTGACAGATCCTCTTGTGAAAACTACAGAGGAATTGGTTTAATCAACATCGCCTCTAAAATTCTCGTTAGGATAATAGTCCGTCGATTGTCTGCTGCATATGGAGAACATCGTCGATGATGGATGATGAGTGAGGCGAGCAGAAGATTTACAGGAGTACAACATGTCACGCAACGGGTACACTACTGACGGGAATCTTAGCGTTTAAAAAAGAACAGGTGAAACTGCCACTTCAACCAAAGTGTAACCTTTGAATTCGGCCGCCATTTATCTCGAAAATCATACTTACACATTTGTGGATTCATTTGTCATTAAAACGCATCGTTATCAATTTCAAGGACACCAAATGTCAGCCTACAAGAGCACGTTCACCAAACCTTTATCGCGCGACCTGCGTCTTTTGTGAAACTTGCCAACAATGTGAGAAATAAGTTCAAGCGGATGATCAAAACACAAAAAGGCGGAAGGGGAAACATCGAGCAGGTTGGCAAGTCGCCCTCAGACAGTGCAGCACCAGTCAGATGCAAATTCCTCTCATTTTAACAAGCTATGTTCTCTCTGTTGGGAAAAGTCGATGAGGTAGCAAACATCACACAGTAAAAGGAGTATAAAAACCTGGGAATTATTATGCTTCAGGAATGGTGGCTGCATGAAGAAATCCCTAGTGAAATCGTAAAAGTGGATGGATATAAACTGTATCGGGTTCACCGTCCCGTGAGTGTCCGTAAACGAGGCGGTGTTGCAAGTTACGCCAGCGATAACTGGAGTAAATCAACCGCTGTCACCTACGAATAATCAACGGATAAAATCAGTTCTCACGTCATCGAATGTACGCCCCGTTTTTTGAGTGGGTTTCATTCCATACTATTTGGAAACTTTTACCTGTCACCAACAATATCAGTGGCTGACATAAGTAGCTCTTCTGACATTTTTTCTACCTCCATAGTATCAAAAACAAGAGACTCTTAGTGCATATTCGTTGGTGATTTCAACAGACATGATGTAACATTCCTTATCACACTGGGTCTACAAAATTTGGTACATTTTCCTACCTGACTCAATTCACTTGATTTCGTTTTTACAAACACCGCAATTTTTCGAAGTCCATCAATGTACTCCTCTGAGCAGTTCAGATTATTTTATCTCAAAAGAATGTCCCACTGTATACAGCAAAAACTAACCGATACACATTTTTAAGGCCTTCCAAGATAGTGAGTCAAAGAAACTGTTCACCAGAGAACCTAGAAAGGCCAAGATCCATGATTGCCACCACAGATTTTTCGGTGTTTCCCGATCAGAATCCTTCTGTCCTCTGTGAACATGTGACGGACTACCTTAATTTCTGTTTTAACCAATGTTGTCCACTAGAAACGGTTTTTATCCATAAAGACAGATATTCACCACCGCTACTCAAGCAGCTACGCAGGCGGAAAGAACAAGCCTATAAACAAGGACAAAGAATCCGTCAAGCGGCAAACAGTTTCGATCAAAGCTTAAATAAATCGATTGAACAAATTGTACATCGATACTATCCTGAGAAATTCTAGTTGTCGTGACATGTGGAGGGCTATCAACCGATTGTGTGGCAGTAGCAATGAACACAAAAAGGAGACTGTCGACGTTGAAAGACTAGATTCTGAGTTTATTCCAGTTTCACAGTGCACTGACTGCCGTGCCAGACTTAGTCAGCTCTATGCTAACACTAACTGTCGAACCCGCCACAGTCCTGAAACAGCTACTGAAAACTAAGTTGAAGCATCGGGCCCGGATGAACGATCACTTGTGGTAATAAAGGTATGTACGGACACCCTTTCAACTCCATTGTCCAAAATATCCAATGACTGTCTGATAAGCGGAAAAATCCCTGATATTTGGAGACTGGCCAAGATAACTCTCGTTCCAAAAAAAGGAACCTGGGAAGTATCGTCTCATCGCCTGCACGTCAGTCATGCTCGAATTATTTGAGAGACGCTTGTTACCGTGGTTTGTCACTGAGTCTGAAGAAGACGACATACATCAATTTGCATATCGCTCTTTGAGCTCAACACTTGAAGCCATTCCATACCTTGTTCATTCAATAATTTCAGCACTATGTAGGTTTGTGAATGCATGCGTGCTACCCCATTGGTTGTATTGCTCCTCAGTGATTTTTCCCGGTATTTTGAAGAAAGACCTTTATTTACTGGCGAGATCTCTGGAATATATCTTCAAATGTAGTGGAATTGTCAGGGATAAACTCCTCGATTCTATCATAGACAGACACCTACAAGCATACGAAAGTTCCACCGCCAAAATACTCTTAGACACTCACCACCCACTACACAACGAATTTCCAAAAGCTGTATCTACATCATCCGCACGATTTAAAATCCTATTTGCACGTACCTCTACTTATCGTAATTCTGTTTTACCATATCTAGCACGTTTACTTATTGACAAGGAGAAAATTTCCGCAGAATTGTGCAAATGCTTGCTTCATTGACAAACACAATCTACTGTTTTCAGTTTCATTATGTAATGATTTTGTTAATTTGAATCTACAAATATGGTGTAAATGCTGAAAATTCACCCACTCGGGTGAATAAAGCTACTACTGACTTGACCTGAAGTAGCGTAAAGCCGAAAATCGACAGCGCATGGATTACGATTCATTTATTTTGTACCGAATTCAACTGGTACGAATTCTGTCGATATGTTCGTTGAGTTTCAGTTAAAAAAAAATGGACGCTCGTTGCTCAAGGTGCATCATAAAAGAAAAAAAGGGAAAAAACAATAGGACCACAGAACAGGAAAACCGTCATTAGCTGCATGTTTAGACTCAAATGAGTAATTTGAAACCCTGTTGTTATTTGTGAAGATGCGAGCCATATACTGGGTATAGGTTCGTTTGGGACGGGATGTATTGCAGACAACGTAAGGAAAATGAAGGATTGATGGGTAAATTTGCACAGAAAGAAGTACAATGAACTGCGGGTTAATTATTAAATCATCAATGAAAAGTAGGGAAAACAGTGCCCATTGTTTCTTACATTGTGTAATAATGATACATTCGGACAAAAACATTAAGCAGGAATACTGTTTTTTATTACACACTTTCGTGTGGTGAACAGCAGACGAAGGAAGCCTCATGAACAAGAGGAACTGCTGTTCAGTGATGGAAAACGGTAACCTAAGCCCCGCGACTTGGAGTGGCGGACCACATAAATTCCCGCTAAGTTAGGCGTGGTATTGAACTAGGATGTATGGTTCATTTTGACGAAATGAGAAGATACAGTGGTAAAAAAAGTGGGACGGAAGAAACAGCAACTGAAAAAGTAAGGCAATTATTTAGAGTTTGCGGGTGGGAAAGTCAACCGTCTAAGCTTTTAAATCGAATAAGACTGCTGGAAACTACTGATAATCATAACCATAACTTATGTTGGGATCCTTTTCTTAATAACTTTTTCATTGACATTACAATAAATTACTGATATTATTACTTTACACCAACCTTTCATGTCGTCCACGTTCGACGAAGGCACTTTGGTGAACCGGTTTTTCATGTTAGACTTCACATTGGACATTACATCCTGTAATGCCTCGGCCTCCCTGACACGTTCTTTCAACTGGGATTCCAAATTTTCTTTTTCCATGGTCACAGTCTGAATAAATCAAAACCGATAGAGAATTTGTACGAGACCGTATCTGATTTTGAAATCTAGTCACTTACGTACAACACAAAAATCCATTTGGACAGCATATAAAACAAGACTTATCGACTGCCACACGAACACGAAAATTGTGGATGGGCCATAAGTTGACTAGCACTAAGTCGAATCGTGTGGGTAAACTTCAGAGACACGCCAAACTGGGAAGACCTTTATATTTTAGAGCATCATCCAGGGGAACGGATTGTTTTACCTCTATGGAACGACTTGGTTTGCACCTAATTTATTGAAGCAGTAACCAAGCATGATAAACTTCACCGATAAAAATCTTGGACGACCTTATCTGTTCCATAATGAGTGAGGTCAATGTGTCGCCGGGCATCCGTTTTCACCCTAATCATCTATGTAGGAAAATTTGTTTACGAATCACTAATCGTATTCTACTCTGCTTGGATGCTGCTTAGCCACATGAGGAAAACAATTACGGAAGAGCGAGTTCACACACTCGACGACAGCTTCGTAGGATACACTATAAAACAGTTATCCTGAGTTTTATCTGAATTTAACTTGTTGAATTTCACATTACGTTTTTTCGCTTTCATAATTTCTCCTTGAAGCGAAAACCAATGAATGGCGCTTTGGTGGAATATATCCGTACCTCCACAACGGAACGCGAGTACAATGTTACAAGTCCAACGAAATGAAACCCCTTTACTGCCAGTCTACTCTGCTCAAAATTCTGGGCACTGTTTACATTCACCATGTCAATAGGAGGAAAACTAGGATCTGAGATGACATCTTCGATAAACGCCATGGCAACACCATCGCAGTGTTCCTTGACCTAAGAAGAGCCTACGAATGTTGACCGTGAAGCTCTCATGGGGTCGCTGCTTCGTAAAGGAATGCCGCCGAAGTATGTAAACCTATTGCGGTTGCTGTACCTGCATACTCCCGGTAGCGTAAAGGTCTAAAGTGGGCTAAGCAAAACGATTGAGACCGGAAGTGGTATTCGTCAAGTGCGTCCTATTTNTATTTCGCCATTCTTGTTCGACTTCGTCGTAGACAAAATACTGGAGAACGCACTAAGTGGTCTCCAAAACGTACGTATTGAATGGGCGGTTGGGGAAAACTGTGATTTGGAGTACGCTGATAAAATCACCTGTCTGTTCGAATGTACGGAGGACGCGCAAAGCGCACTTGATAGACTAACAAGTGCAGTAGCCACTTTTGGTATGTGCTTTGCACCTTTCGAAGGGCAAAGTGATGCTGCAGAACTGGGTGTCGCCTACTCCCGCTCTGAAACTAAATGATAAGGAATTTATCATAGTGGATTGCTTTTACTACTTAGGTAGTTGCGTGACCAATGACGGTAGAGCAGCAAAGGAGATAGCCGCTCGCATTTCCAAGTCTCGAGCGGCATACGCAAGGCTGAAACACCTTT